AATACAGACGTGCCTAAGCGTGGCCTTGAACAAGGCGAGTGAAAAGGAAGAAAAGGCACATTAACGCTGGTCTGCAAAGTGCCATAGCAAAGCCCCTTCTGACGAGGAAACGTACTGGCGTCTGATTTTCAAAAGGTTTGCATTGTCATCGTAGTCGTGTTTATTGCCTGTTTCAGACAAGGTTACAAGAAATATGTATGAAGTAGAAGCTCGGGCTAACAGGGAAAACAAAACTCATCAATGTTTTTACTGGTGTTCTGCAGGGGGAAAAACATTGCGACTCACTGAATGATAGTAATTCGGGGCGCGGTAGGATTGGCACGGTTCAGTGTTATGGGGCCGGTATTCCGCACCAGACACCAGGCTCGTCGGTGGATGGTTGTCCGCTGTCGGCTGAAGAATTAGCCGGTTGCAGGCTGCAGAGTCAGCAACACTGTCCTCAGGTTGAAGCCCGGCATAGGGCTCAGAGTCCGCGAACGCCATCAGAGTGGAAGGGAGAGATTCAGCACCCAAAATTTGCGAAAGACGTCCTGGATGTAGAAAACTAGTGATAGTTCTCTTAAACAACGGAAATCTTTGCTGAATTCTGATAGGTAGCTTACGTCAGATTCTCATAGAGTTTACTGAACAGGACTGACGATATCCAGTTGTGCGTGGCAGAGGAAGAAGTAAAAAAAAGTCACCTCGGAGACCGGTGCGCCAAGAGTGGTCAGGCTGTCCCAGAACAGTAAAGGGAATTAAAGGTACGACTGTGTAAAGGCTTTAACAACAAAAATAGCACCCTTCTGTAATCTACAAAGACATAAGGGATCAAGGTTCGTAGGACCACGACACCGCTGTTAGGTCAGATTACAGTGGTCTGAAAAGAAAACTCTTTCAGCATATAAACGCTGAGCCGATTCTAGTTTTCTCCGTTCACCAGCGCGCAGAAGGCTAATTAGAAGCGAGCAGTATTCCAGACTGGGCCTAACGTACAGTTTTTTTCAAAAACTGGTTTTACATTTCGGAGAATAAACCCGGTAGTTCGACGTCCGCAGGCGTCCTTTGGGAAAATGGGGAAGATTTATCCAGTAAATTTTCTACACTGGATCCCCAGGCCGTCATCAGACGTGAGAAACTGTGCAAAGAACAATTAACATTTCAAAGTGCTGCTACAGTCGTCTAGTGTGGGCGCTAATTGGTAGCTGCAATTTGCGTCACGCCGTGGTGGACATTATTAGCATTTGCAATGGCGTTATGACTAATTGGTTACTGCAAAATGCGTCGGTCCGGCGTCAGTCCGGGTCCCCCGGTGTGAGCGCTAATTGCGGTTCATGTTGGTCCATAGGTGTCGGCTGTAGTCTCTTCCAACATTCTTTGATATATTTGTACACTCCATCCAACTTGATACGCCGGTTGGTGCTTGAATCATTGGAGTGCATGGCCTCAAGAAATTCTCGGCCGTTTTTGGAGGGGCAAACTCCGAGGATACGTGTTTTGTCGCATGCAAAGGTGTGTCCCGTGTCAAGGCAATGCATAACCACTTCGGACAAGTGGTCACGTCTCTTCACTGCCAACTGCAACGCGGATCGATGTGAAATCTACCGTTGACAGTATTGCCGTCAAAGACTAGGGAGAGTGGAATGGGCATTTTGACTTAAAAGTCGTCGTCAGCCAGTCATACCACACTGCAATTGGTGCGCCACCTGAAACTCGAACTCGTAACATTTTCGATCAGAGTCTAACGCTCTAGCCATTGAGCCACGAGCTCCTTGTCTTGCCGATCTACCGTTATCTCCTAATACATACATTCTCCTACATGGGGCCTAGTGGTAAATTCGACTTTACTTAGCGCGCCGAAGTGGAGAGATGGGATCATTCAAATCAAAAACACGAAGGTTTCCCAAATCAGAAGTCGGAGAAGACTGATGAGGATTGACAAAAGTTGCTGAGTGACAGAACCTTACGAGGCCGCTGTACGCATCCAGCCAGTACACCCTAAGGATAGGGTTGGCTACCTCGATAAGAAA